CCCTTGACGAATGCCAGCTTTTATTTTTCAACTTTATTTGCCTAAAGAAAAAGAATAGAGCAAGTTTTCCATTGCAAAGAACTCAAAGACTACAACTATGGACTTCTATGTGAAATCTCTGGGTTTATTTGTGAATCATGTTTGTAAACTTAACAATGGTCACATTGTGCGGCACACCTGAAAGGATTTCATAACACACTAGTTGAGACTCACTGGTATAAAGACAACTCACCGCCAGCTTTCTCCTTCTCCTGCACAAAGTCAGGGAATAACAAGGCTGTATGTGTAAATTCTCCCCTTTAAAAGGCCTCGGTCTTTCCAAATGCTTGAAATTTGAAGCTACAACCCAAAGCCGCTTCCTTTTCACTTTTAAATACATGGACATTTTCCATTGCAGCCAAATCCGATGACACGCATGGAGAGCGGCAGACTGCCATTACACAGCTGTGTGACATTTCTGCAACTAGCTATGGGTTGCTTACAAGAACACATTCCCTTTTAGATGCCTCATTTTGATTCTCTTCCCTGCATACATCCTGTTTTCACAAGACAATGCAATGCTGTGTCATACTAAGCCATGTGCTATTTAGTAGGGCTGTGCGAAGCTTCGGTCACCAATTCAATTCGGCAGAGATTTGGCCCAACTTGGTGGCTGAACCTCCAAATCCAAATCAAATCAGGAGACCCTTTAAATCTCTCCAAATAGAATCTGAACCCTACGAATCAATTCAGAGATTCAAAAAGATTCAGCAGTTTGGACATAGGAGACAGCTTTAAATATTTTGTCTCCATACCTCAAGGTACCAGGCAGCTTGTGAATGCTGTGATGGTGGGGCAGATGGAGCATCCCACAGGAACATGGTGGGGTCCCCAGCACGCTCGGCAGCAGACCCCCAGCTCAGTGAGTGGTGCCTTCTGGGTCTGGGGGGACACCCAGGGTCTCCCCAGAGCCAATCGCCAAGCCGGAGAGGCGCAGCAGGGGGGCCTCCAGTACACTTCCTGGCACTCCCAGAAGTGGACTGGAAGTACTTCCAGGTCCACGTCTGGGTTTGCCGTCGAGCACGCAGGGGGCCCCTCCGCACTCCTGTGGGATGCTCCATTCATCCCAGCATCATAGCATTCACCAGCCATGCCTGGTACCTCGAGGTGTGTAGAAAAAACAGTTAAAGCTGTGTCTATGTCTGAATCATTTGATTCTCCGAATCAGCATCAAATCTTCAGATTCAGCCAAATCGAATCGGGGACAGTGATCAAAATCAACTAATCGAATCACTGTCCCCTATTTCAGGCCAAATCCAAATCAAATACGGCCTGTTTTGCACACCCCTACTATTTAGTCACTTCCCCTTCTTTATTTTGATCAGCTTGGACCACATTTTTGAATTTCTTTTACTGTTCACTATCAAAGATGTGTCTGCATTACGACCAGTGATTTCATCATAAGTCTCATGCTATTTGGCTTTTCATGAAGGCTGACCTTCTGGAACCATGAGAATGAGTATCTTGACCCTTTTTTTGTTTCAATACAAGTTCCTTGTCCTTAAAATACGGTGCAAGGGCAAACAAAAGGCTCAAGCAAACACAATGCTTCCCTGTTTTCTTCAAATGGAATCTAGATTTTCAAGCCGATGTCTTTGGTTCAGAGGAGCTGACTCAGATTTTCTGGAATGCTTGGGGCTCGTAATACCAAGCTAAGCCCCAGGTGCCATTTTTGGAACTAGCTCATAGGTTCAGGTACTATCAGTGTTAATTACTGATATCAATTTACCCAGAAAAATGGCTGAGACTAAAAAAGAAGCTCAAAAGAGACAGCTGTAGTTTAAAAACTTGTTTCCCCAGCCTATTTCACTGTTTTCAGAATGAGAGTCTTCTCACTTTTGGAACCCACCCATCAAAAGGGTATTGTATAGCTGTTAAAAGATTCCTGTATGGCACACATTTTAAGGGTGAGTGATAGTATTAAATGGACAAAAGAATGAACCAGGAAAACGTTACCCAAAAAGTTCCAGAACTCTCTGAAGTTTGACAAACTAAAATTAAAAGCTCCCTGCATAGAAGCAAAGTACTGTAACTCCTTGCTCTTGCAGCCAAAACCTCTTAAGTAATGGGGGAGTTTTTTATCCATGTGTGAAATGAGATACAGTAGAAGAAAAATTTCAGACAGAAAAAAGGCTCCAACTTTTTCAGATGTATTGATTTTTTTTTTTTTTTTTTTTTTTTTTTTAAACAGGATTTACACGTTTCAAGCCTCAGGGCAAGAAATTATGTTGTTCTGCCAATATGTTAGGTCTGTAGAGAACAAAAGCATCTCAGAAGTAGATAGCATAGCCAGTTTTCTATTAAAGCTGAATGCAGTTTGCTGCAGGTAAATTAGGTACATCACAAAGCAAGCCAGAAAATTATGTTCAATAGCTGCTTATCCTCTTCTCTCAGTTCTCTGGAGGCAAAGTTAGTTTACTAGTGACTGCATTTCTTAACCACCTCCCATTCTGTTCAGCTAAATGGTATTAGGCTAATTCAAGTTTCTGTCAGAGAGAAAAGGGGTGAAAATATGCCTTATATAACACACAGAGACAACAGTCTTTTCCTCTCCATTTTTATGGAATTCAGCAGCTCAAAGATACAAGTATTATTGGAGGAAAAGGAAGCCAACAGCCAAACTGCATGGATATTTATTATTAGTTGCCACTGTTTTCCATATAAATATCACATTTCAGGCCCTTCATTTCAGAGTGAAAGTTTAACATGTAGCTTCACATTTAAAGTAAAATATACTGTATTTACTTGAATCTTAGGTGACCCTGAACTTAAAGCAACCCTCCTATAAGTAGATTCAACACATGGAAAAATTATAAAATTTGTTATACTTTTCTATGTATAGAATCTAATTATTGGAGGGTTATCTTTAATTCATCCCCCCACTCCACCCCTCCCCACTGTTACAGGAGGGCAGGCAGGTAATTTATACTATTCACTGTCATCCTCTATCACTCCAGTCTTCGGGCTCACCCAGTTCTTCCATTATGATATTCTGATCCTTCTCTGTATTAAGAAGGCCATGCAACTTTACTAATAAATTCTTCTGATGACACATTTTGCGCCAAGGTCATAAATAGACATTAATGAAGGTTGGTCCTGAAGACCAACCCTTGAAAGATCCATCTGTAACTTCCCTCCAGCTCAATTGTTTACCCGCTCCCATCCAACTTCCCTTCAGACACTTCAGTTGTTACAACTCTTGACCCAATACAATCCTCAGCTTCTTCTTCAAATACAGTTTCCCAAGTGGCACCACACCTAGTGTTTCAGCGAAATCCAAATAAATGTACAAGTTCCCTTGCTTAGAAAACAAATGATCTTTTCATTCAAAGGCCCACCTAGTTAATCTGGCATGATCTATATTTAGTAAAACTCCACTGACATTGACTTAATTTGCATTTACCACCATATCTTTAGTAGGGGTCTCAATCTCACAGAAGTACAATTCTGAGACCCCAAAACATCATGCTAATGGAGCTGTAAGACTATGCCTACCAGCAAATACAATGCCTTTCTTTTTACTTAAGAAACCTGAATAGATACATTAGTTTAGGATTACATGTTCTGGAGAATATATTTTCAACTCAAGATTAGTGTTGGCCAACAAGCTAAATTAACATGGCAAACACCAAGTGTAGCAATATGGCAGCTCTCAACAGACTCTTTCACCATCAGGCACCATAAATCAAGCACTAACAGCCCAAGGCACTACGAACCATTATGTTATCACCTGACAAACAGCATATGACAACTTTGGCACTGGGCTGTTGCCTATCAGTGCCACAATAAAAGTACAGACCCAGGGGCCTGTTCTAAGCCTGGCGCTATTCAACATTATTATTACCACCTGGAATGCAGGACTAGGGAGGTTCTTGATCAAGTCTCTGTTGGTTGCCTCAAGATCATTCGATTGTCAGGCACACCCTAGGAATGTGACACTGATGTGAACACACTGGGAGGACTAAGAGGTCTCAAAATGTGGATATTCTCTATTCAGTATCACCTCGATCAAGGTGCAGCCTCCCAAGTGGTTTGGAAGTCAGACAAGATAGTTAAGAAATCTGGGATAAAAAGACTTAAAAACCAGAAAGTGAGAAAGGAGTGAGAACAAAAGCATTTTTCAAATATCTGAAAGTCTACAATAAAAGAAAGAAAGAACAATTGCTTTTCTTTGCCACAGAAGACAGGACACAATGCAATAAATTTAACCTACAGTGGAGCAAATGCAGATTAAATCTTATGAAAAACCACTACATAAGAAAAGCAGGACAATAGCACATGCTGCCATGAGAGGTTATGGAATGTCCTTCACTGGATGTTTTCAAAAAGAGACTGGATAAGCAACTGTGTGGCATGGTCTGGGAATGCCACATCCCGTACCTGTGATGGAGTTGATGATGCCAGAGGTCCCTTTCCGCCCTGTGATTCTATGGATCTAAAAGCATGATTCCACTACAGCCAGTTTCTTCAGGGCATCTTTCAAATTCCTTTCAATTTAATGTTCCTTAATACTTATTCAAACAGTGGTTTGAAGCTGCAACCATTCAAATAGCAGGGCTGAATATGGTGTTAGAATACATAAAGGAGAAAGGACTAAGAGGCACAGAATCATGAAATCCAGTGTAGAGAAGCAGTTTACAGCTATCTATAACAGCTTGTAGGGGTTGGTGGAATAGCAGTCTTTCCACCTGGGGTTGAAAAAGGACTGTCCATGATCCATATGCACCTCACAGTAACACAGAGATGAAGCCCACTGAGCAGCTCCTGACGCTACATACTGAGTAACAAAGACTGCCAAACCAAGACTGGGCAATGTGATGGGATCCTCAGTTTACATGGACAGCACCTGCATGCCAAAAGGTACTTTGCAAATGACCCAAGAGAACAATATGATGGCAACAGACACAATTTGGATGCACCCTGCTAGGATGAGTTGCACCAAGTAAATACCAATCACTTACCTGGTTTTGATCATTGTAGTCACATTCCCTAGCTACTACTAGTCCTCCTTTCTGACTTGGGTGACCCTGGGCAACAAGACACTTGTTGGTTTGAAGGTGATACAACTGTGAAAGAAAAAGACTGCTTAATATATACAGTGAATTAGAAGGCAAGCATCAGAACAAACATTTGGCAAGTCTTCTAATAACTCCTTCCTAGAATTCATTATATACTCAAATTCAAAATACTTTCTCCCCTTTTAAAAATATAGCCATTTCCTTTGATCTAGTTATTTTTAATACAGCACTTGAAACCACTTAATTTTGTTTTCATGATATGCCAAATTTCCCTTTTCCCTAGAACTGGAAAGTACATGCACATCAGATGAAAATTTGGCCCTCCTGTATACAGATAACTATTTGTCTGCTACAACTTACACCTTCTTATTGGATATTTTATGGATTTTTTTTCTATGAATCACAGCAATTATAAATATAACATTTTCATTCCTCCTCCTCTTTTGGGACAAAAAACAGATTAATGCACATGACTTTTTGCAACCTGAAGACGACCAGAAAAAAAAAACCCATATTTTTCAGCTACGCTTAGTTACAATTCTTGTGGAAATTCAGCTTAGCATGCCAAATTTCCCACGTCTTCTAAATGAGTTTCTAGCCTAGTTTGGATATGCTCATTACTCTACAACTAGAATTATCTGGCTTTTGGTGCTTTGGTCATATTGGGATCAGACTCCTGACATGTGGCTATATGTTGAAGAAAGGCTGCTACCAGAACGAGATTCCTAGCAACTGTTCAGAAGCAATCCTGGTTTGACAATGGTGCTTTTACATATTCCAGAGTTCTGCCAAAAGCCTTAGTCATCTGGACAACAATCCCACAAAATAAATTAGCTGGAATGCTTTTATTCTGGTCTCAAATTATTTAGCGGGGTAAAACTACAAACTAAAGAGTAATCTCCATTTTGCAGTGGAATACAGAAGGAAAAAGATTTCACTCTGACAGTCTTGGAACAGCAGACCATCCTTAAATAACTAGCCAATTTTGCCTTAGCTACATAGATAAGCTTTTAGCATTTCATTTCCGTTTTATTTATCCTTTAATTCTACATATCACTTAAAAATATTACATACCTCTAATTGCATTAAATTAAAAAAGAAACTACCAGCATATAACTGGATGGATACAACATAATCAGGCAGCACAAGCAATTAAAATTCTCCATTTTTCCCTAAACATTATGCCCAGTAATATTGCCCTTTTCAGGTTCTTAAGAATACGTTCCATTCTCCATTCTAGTTTCTAGCATATATTTACTATCCCCTTGCCAATTCATGCTATAAGTGTTCAAATCAAACAGTTACATGAAAGAATGCTAAAGGACTTTTTCTGCCATCTTACAGATTTTAGGGAAGGTCTAATTTCCAGTTTTATTCAAGAGTATCCTTTTATAATTTACATGGTTTTAAAATAATTTGTCTGTTTTATTAGCCCTACCCATCTGCATTTGAGAATGTTGTTAAAAATGCTCACACTTTGTGATTATCATAGCTCTTTTCCACCTGTAGAACATGTACTCAATCTTAGCTCTGATTGTCTGAGAGAAAAAGGTAAAATTCAAGCAATTTATTATGAACCCTGAGGAGTCTGGCACATGGTGGCAGTCCTGGCTGATCATACTGTTACCTGGGCCTCTAGAATGAACTTGAGTAATTATTTGAGCCGAAGCTGATTAACTATTCTGGACCAATGTTGAGTCCAGTGATCAAATCCCTCATAACCAAACTGAAGCATTTCTGAGCATATTTATCTGTACACTGGCCTTCTTTATTCTAAAAATTATACAAAGCTCTTCTCTAAACCAAAGCAAAGAAAATCCTGGCCTAGAGAAATGGCCTATCACTTTACTTCAAGATATTCAAACACCTATATATCATGAGTCTCAAACCAACAATTCTTTAGTTAAACCTCTATTATCCTCTGAGAAAGACTGAATAGGGAGTTGCATGCATTGAGCTGATTCTCCACTGGTGAAGCCACATCTGGAGTCCTGTGTCCAGTTCTGGGCCCCCCACTACAGAAAGGATGTGGACAAACTGGAGAGAGTCCAGCAGAGGGCAACGGCAATGATGAGCGGGCTGGGGCACACGACTTCTGGCGAGAGGCTGAGGGAACTGGGCTCATTTAGTCTGGAGACGAGAAGACAGAGGGGATTTAAAAGCAGCCTTCAACTACAGGCAGTCCTCGACTTATGACAAACAGCACTTATGACCTTTATAAATTTACACCTTGTTTCGAGGTTCTGACACCAGTTCAACTTTACAACGATGGACACTGCTGCATCCAGCTGGTTAAGTCTCTTGTGGTGGGGCGAGGGAAGTGCACTGGGGGCAGATCAACATCCCCACAGCGAGGGAGAGATTGGGGCTAGGGCTAGGACAGGGTCTGGGGCAAGCACTGCCCAGCAAGGACGGGGTGGCATGGGGAGGGGGTGGGGTGGCTCTCGCCACTGTGCACTGCCAGTCCAGGAGAGCATGGGGGGGCAGGGTCCAACTGGATCTGCGCAGGGTGGGTGGGGTCAAGGTTGCGCTCCAGGTGGGCGTCAGTGGGAGTAGGGGCTATGCCCTCCTGCCGCTCACCCAGGTGGGCCAGGCTGGGACAGGAGTGCATGGGATGGAGCTGCTGCACTGCCTCTGGATGAGCGGCACGCATTGGCAGGACCTGCTCCAACCTCCCCACGCCTCCATCCCTCACCCCTGCCTACCCCAGCTGGGCAAGCGTGGGGGGAGCATGTGCCCCCAGATCTGGGGGAGGGAGGGCTATTGGCAGATTTTAGGATGGCTGCAGCCCCCACTCTGCCACCCTCCTCGCCCCAATCCAGGGCACACATGCACTTCATATGCCCTGCTGCCACTGGCCCAGCCAGGGCAGTGGGGTGCAGGGAGGCCAGGGCGGCTCCCGCCGTTGCATGCTGCTCGTCCAGAGGCAGTGCAGAGGCTCCATCCCATGCCCCCCTGCCCCAGCCCAGCTGAGCAAGTGGTGGGAGAGCACAGCCCCCGCCCCATGCAGATCTGGTTGCACACTTCCCCCCCCTCCCATGGCCTCCTGGACTGGCAGCATGCAGCAGCAGGAGCCACCCCACCACTCCCCCAGCTGGGCAGTGCTTGCCCCAGCCCAAGTCCCAGCCCCAATCCTTCTCTTACTGGGGGGTCACTGATCTGCCCCCCCAACACCCCTCCTTCCCTCTCCCCACCACAGACTTACCAGCTGGACACAGCTGCGGCCATCTTCATAAAGGAAACAATCCCCCATTGATAACATTGTTCCTATGGGGAAAATTGGTTCCAACTTACTACATTGCTACTTAAGATGTGGTTTTCAAAAACCAATTGTGTCGTAAGTCTGAGGACTGCCTGTACCTGAAAGGGAATTTGAAAGAGGATGGATCTAGGCCGTTCTCAATGGCGGCAGATGACAGAACAAGGAGCAATGGGCTCAAGTTGCAGCAAGGTAAGTTTAGGTTAGATATTAGGAAAGACTCTCTCACTAGGAGGGTAGTAAAGCACTGGAACAGGCTACCCAGAGAGGTGGTAGGATCTCCATCCTTGGATGCTTTTAAGATGCAGCTTGACAAAGCCTTAGCTGGGATGATCTAGGTGGGGATGGTCCTCTCTGAGGAGGGGCTAGATTAGATAACCTCCTGAGGTCCATTCCAACCCTCTTTTCCCATGATTCCCAATTCAATCAGTTGGTAAGGAACAAACCAGGACCCTGATTTTTAAAGCGATGTTGGCCCAACTCAGTTCTAAACTAAAAATGAAAATACACACATTGTAGACTGCCCCAAAGTTCCTTCTGTGTAAAATACTATTTCAACTGGTTTTGCACAGAAATAGATGTTCTCCAGCATGGATCACCCTGAGTAACTGCGGTTCTACAAATAAGTTTCATAGTTTTATAACGATGTACCACTAAATATTGCAGGCTATGTCCTGATAGGAGGTAGGCACAAGGTTACTGAATCAGTTCATGAATATTAATAAGAGGTTCCTTCCTGTACCCACATGAAATAAGAATTTATTTGAATGTCCTCTGTGTCCCTTTCACACAGAGAATACTCATACATAGTCTATGGAACTGAAGTTATTCTTTATTTCCGGGAAAGTTTAAAAATAATTACATTATTAAAAATAATTCAGCATTGGTAAAGGCAGGTGCAATTCTACTTATTTCTGGATCTGGATAAAAGCAATAAACCAAAGTCTACCTACTAGGAGATGAGCTAGGAGCAGCGGGGAGAGGGTGGACGCAGGCACACGGGTGTCTTACACCCGTGTGCCCCCTTACCGGACCCAGAGCAGAGGTGAGAGCAGCAACAGCAGCAAAGGAATGGAGCAGCAGCGGGAGCAGCAGCAGCTGATCTCCCTAAGGTAAGTGGGGCAGAGGGACCGACGCAGCTGAGCCGGATCCGGAGGGGAAGCCCCCCGGATCCCTCTTAGCTGAGCCGGTAGGGAGCCGCGCTCCCGAGCCACGTAAACAGGTGCGGTCTGTAAGAGCGCGCCGGCATTTGCACCAGAGGGTGAGCAGGAGGGGCCCAGAGGCTGACTCTTGGTAGTGTGGGGCAGAGGAACCGAACTCAGCTAGAAACTCAGCAACTTCTACAATGGTGTCGACACGGAGTGCTGCCAGGGCCCCTGCCCGGGGGGAGCGGCCTTCCCAGGGTTTGTCTGAGGCTTCCACCCAGACAGAGCCCCCGGGAGGGGGCTGGCACCCCCAACCCCGCGGGTGCTGCCCAGCAAGGCCTGGGGGGGCAGGGA